TGCTCCCCATTTCTGGTAAGACCTGGCTTTGTTTAAGGTGATGTTTTATGATTTTTCATGTTCCCCATGGGAAATCCACCACGACTGGGGAATCTATAGGGAATGTTTAGATTTTTTGTGCGGGTTCCTTAAGCAAATCCAAGATGGTTGGAGACGAAAGGTCATAAGTGCGAGACATGTACCAGCCATGTTGTTTCTAAACAAAAAAAAAGAACAAAGAAATGGGACGATATTTTTTACAAGCCACGTTAGCATCAAGCCACGTGTGATGGCCATGTCTTTTTCCGGGAGATTCCGGGGATGTCACTGGCAGGTGAAGAATTCTATGTTGGGAGTGACTAGCATGATGAACTCTGCCTAGGACTGGCAAAGCCAGCCTAGTAAAATGGGCCCTGACCGACCCGGTTCGGTTAGATTTCAGAAAACTGCCAGGTTTCTATACGTTCTTGCGTGTATATGGTGCACATACATACATACATACATACATACATACACCTATCTATATTCTATATATATATATACTTATATACCTATCTATTATATATATATGTACTTATTCCTATCTATACTACATTATATATATATATGCGACTATGCAATGTAATGTTAATGCACAGTGTGATGCAATGCAAAATTATGTTACCTTACGTTTATAGTATGTTTTATTTATTATATTACTAGCGCTAGCGTTAAGTCGTATATCATCCTAGATCATAGCCCTGCCAATAGGATTGGCTACAGCTAACCCATTTGCATTGCAAGAAATTTGAGGCTGTACCAATAGGGGTTTGATTTGGTCCGGCGACGCAGGACATCAATATAATATATTCAAAACCAATAGGATTAGCTGCCGAGAATTTGTTTGTATTAACTTGTGCCCTTCAAAGTCATCGCTGTGCGCAATGCTTCGGCTACCTTTAACTAAATCTCCAATTACAGACGAAACAGGCTGTGCCATGGTGATTCTTTTTCCCTGATGTGACTTTCCACTACCTGATGTGACTTTTCTGTATCGCCGCCGTGCCATGGGGATGATGTGACTTTCCCCGCCTGATGTGACTTAAGTACGGTGCTTGTATGTGATATACATATGTACAGTGGGACTGTGGACGGTTGTTTGTTTATGGCGACTGCTACCCCACTATGTAATCAGGATTTAGCTCTACAGAAACCAACCAGCATATGGGATGCCGACACGTGGTGTGTGACGTGCGGATGGGGATTCAACGAACCAGTGAACTGTGAGCCCCTAGAGACGCTTAAGATTCGTCCGGCTCGGTTGTTGGTGGTTGGTGGTTAGATACACCCTCAACTTAGTATTGCGGGGTCACGACTCAAAGTCGGCTGAATCCCTACAAAAATCCAAGTTTCGAGTATTAGAGGCTCTGTACTCACAACCGATCCATAGATCAAAGGAATAAAAGGCTGGCAGAAAAACCCATCCACTTCCCCCTGGCCTAAGGCCGGCTGGAAGAAAGTTCATGGCTCTGTGTCCCATTCTGTCCTGGGGACGATTGAGCAATATCCAAAACCCGGAGACCTGGGAGTCTGATAGAGAATCAATTAGCTCTATGGCTGAAGGGGTCGAAGCTTGAAGTCTTCAAAAGCCGCTACTATGTATATGTTTGTGTATATATATATACATATTTTCATGGCTGCTCCGCGATGGCTTTTTGAATTGCCCATTTTGGATTGCTCAATGTTTTAGTCTTCCAATTTCTGCACATCATAGTTGTAGTGACCCAGCAGAGGCCTGTCAGTCCGTGAAAATGTGTGCGGCTTGCACCTTTGTAAAGAATGGCTAAATGGATGCAGAAGGAATACTGATTTCTCTTTTGTATGGGATCATATGTTTGGAAAATACACATCTAGTATCATCTAGTAAGAATTCAGCAGTACAGTAACATCTGTATATTGCGTATTATCTTGTTTATATATGCGTATACGAAATCTAAATACATGTATATTACTATATGTATACATTCACACTTCCTTTATGTAAGGTTTTGTTCAGACGCATGTGTTTGATATACTGTACATCGATATGCCGACATCTGATGCTCCAAAGTAAATGAGAATTTCCACATTTGCAGGCTGCCATGGAAGATGAGGAGGACTTGATGAGTCCCTGCAGGGCTAACCCCCCTGTGAAACATGAGCAACGTACCCTCTGGTAATTTGACACCGCTATGGAAAATCATCATCATTATTTGTAGGTAAATCATGATAACTCATCTATAAATGGACCATATTCGATAGCTATTCAATAGCTAGAGGATAACTCGGTAACTCATGAACTTTTTGCGATCAAACATGAAGAATCTTGGTCATACATGTTGATCTCGTTGATTTGTTTTAATGAACTAAGTTCAGAATGATAACAAGAAAAGTCAAAATAGATTCCGCGACAAGAAGCCGTATGTCATATCTCCACACTTTTGGTGGTTTTGTGCGAAAAGCGAGCATATGCCTGATCAATGTGGTGATTCGTGTTTGAGCCACTCCATGTGCGATCCAGGGTGGTGTGACGCTAGCACCAGGTTCTGTCCGAAAGGAACTTTCTGCTCAGCTCATTTGAACGTCAACCGATTTCATGTGTGCAGTATCAAGCCGGATTGATAAACCACTATAATGTTTCATTGGGGATTACCATTTTAGTAGCAGCAAAAATCACTGATGGGGGGGATTTTTGTTCACACCATTACGAATTGGGTTCAGATGACTTGGAGATTCTGAAAGTACAGTTGTCCCGGAAATTTTCATATACATTGGAAAAAAACGGTGGCGTTTTGCAAAGCCTACCCCTTCATCCCTTTGTGGCGGAATTAAGTCTACTCAATGGGATGGGTCGAGTTCTTGTTGCAGCCCTGCAGGATGAGAAAGACAAGGAGATCGTCGGAGTTGGAATCGGGTTGGTGCATCCAGTCCCCCTGTCCGATCTATGTGGCTGTGCTAAAGTCATCCCAGCCCCCGTTTTCAAAGTCCCCAATTCTTGGCACTTCCCCAGTCATAGATAAACTGGGGCACCTGTTTTTTTTTTTTTTCGCTCAGCAAATGTACCCTCTGGTAATTTAACGTAGCTATTGAAAATCACCATTTTTAATGGGAAAATCCACTATTAATGGTCATGTTCAATAGCTACGTTAAATTACCAGAGGGTATCATCGAACTAAGATCCTGGAAATACCACTTTCAGAATCTGTTGGGGGACACCCCTATGATCCCAGTCATATTTTACCTTTCACTCCGTACTACCGCAGGACAAGACGGATGGTGATACCGGTGGCACTAAGGCGGAATTTGGTGATGCCGGTGGCATTTTTGTTGACATGTTTTGCTTGTGGTTTTCCATGACAAAATAATCGGATCAAAAAGGGATTTAAGCATCATTTGTTCAAAGGGATTCTGATGATCAACAAATATAGGGATAGTATTGGTACATGATGGTTGAATTATGGTTGGTTGATGATTAGTTCAGGGACTATGCTATCCAATATATTGGGGATGATCTTCAACTATGAACTGGGAATCCCATTCACAACCAACCAGATTGCATGAATTGATGGAGAGTTTTTGAATGCTGCTGATTTGGATATCATGTGAACGAGATAGTACCCTCCAGCAAATTAACATAGATAAATGATGATAAATTGATAATCCGCAAATTATAGATAATGTCCTTATTTCATTTCCAAAAAAAAACACGGGTTTCGGATATCTATGTGGATTTGCTGGAGGATGCGAACCTTTTTTCTAGTTCGTGGTTGTCATTCGGCTGTCATTGGCTAGACTAGACATGGATTTATCCGGATTTTTGATAAGTGTCCCAAAGAGTCGTCCCAAAAAAAACATGTCCATTTGGGATTCTTCCCCCCGTATCTACCCATCGATTTTCACCATCTGTGCCATGGTCAACAGTTGGATTCAACTTTTACACCTGGTAAAATTGGGGATGCTCATCTCACAATGTTCAAAGGGATTTATTATATATATATATACATATACATATACATATACATATCTGCACAAATTATAGCGAGGACAGCCGAGGCAACGAGGCAGGTTGCAGGAATTAGCGAGGTCAGCCCTTAATTTGCTCATCAGAATTAGCCGACCTCGACGAGGTAGCCTTGCATTGGTTCTGTTGCATGCTTGGGCTTGGCTAGAAAACTTTTTGGGGGGCCAGAGGCCGGTCAGCAGGCAAGGAAGGGAAAAAACTTTTCAGGCCCCCAAAAAGAATATTTTCTATCGCCAGAGGCCGGTCAGCAGGCAAGGAAGGAAAAAAAAACTTTTCAGGCCCCAAAAAGTTTTATTTTCTATCGCCAGAGGCCGGTCAGCAGACAAGGAAGGAAAAAAAACTTTTCAGGCCCCAAAAAGTTTTATTTTCTATCGCCAGAGGCCGGTCAGCAGGCAAGGAAGGAAAAAAACTTTTCAGGCACCAAAAAGTTTTATTTTCTATCGCCAGAGGCCGGTCAGCAGGCAAGGAAGGAACAAAATCTTTTCAGGCACCAAAAAGTTTTATTTTCTATCGCTAGAGGCCAGTCAGCAGGCAAGGAAGGAAAAAAAACTTTTCAGGCCCCAAAAAGTTCTATTTTCTATATCGCCAAAGGCCGGTCAGCAGGCAAGGAAGGAAAAACAACTTTTTCAGGCCCAAAAAAGTTTTATTTTCTATCGCCAGAGGCCGGTCAGCAGGCAAGGAAGGAAAAAAAACTTTTCAGGCCCCAAACAGTTTTATTTTCTATCGCCAGAGGCCGGTCAGCAGGCAAGGAAGGAAAAAAAACTTTTCAGGCCCCAAAAAGTTTTATTTTCTATCGCCAGAGGCCAGTCAGCAGGCAAGGAAGGAAAAAAAACTTTTCAGGCCCCAAAAAGTTTTATTTTCTATCGCCAGAGGCCGGTCAGCAGGCAAGGAAGGAAAAAAAAACTTTTCAGGCCCCAAAAAGTTTTATTTTCTATCGCCAGAGGCCCGCTTCGTGGGTTGACGGCTGCAGAAGCAGTAGGATTCAGAGTTGTTCCAGAAGAGCATTGCATCTCTGCCATAATGTCAGAGATGTCACCACCCAAGCGCAAGAAGCGCAAAGACCGATCAGACTCAGATTTAAAAATCCCTGCAAGAGACCGTGGATCGTGGAAAAAAACTTTTCGGAAGCTGAAAAGTTTTTTTTCCTTGGGGTTGGACCCTGGAAAGAAGGCCCACAAGCTACTTTCTTCCTTCGAATTAATGAGGTAAAGCCTTAATTTGCACCTGCAAATTAGCGAACGAGGACAGTAATCATGGGGAACAAATTAAGACACGAGCGAGACGAGGTAAGAATTAAAGTAATTTGACCAGACATATACATATACATATACATATACATATACATATACATATACATATACATATCATGATTATATATGTATATACCCATGGGTTATATATATATATAGCCATGATGAATTGATTTCCACTATGGGATGACCATACCACATCCATCCCATGGGCCCCCTTTAAGGCCCCTATTCTGGGTGATTAAACTACAAGTGGTTCCTATGATTATCCACTTTTTGGGGGAACCATAGCTTAAGATTTTGTTTATATGTTGGGATTCATAATATTCATAATCTTCATAATATTTATAAGCTATGGATTATGATCCATTGTTACTATCCCATGCTTAAGAATCCCATCTTTTGACCACGGCACATCTCCTGCTATTCTTAAGCTGCTTTTAGTCGCCAGGGGGAAGAGGACAGCGATGATGTGGATGCCGGCTCCGGAGGTTCGTATCTGTGGCAGGGACGGTAACGGCGGGTTTCACTTGTCGGTTTGTTTGTTTAAGGTGACACCGGGTTCATTTTCCCAAGAGATCCAATACGACTCGGGAATCTATAGAGACTATGTCTTACTTGACTTTTTTCGGGAGGCTCTTCAGCAAATCCAATGTGTCATGGAATAATCCATGGGGATAATCCATGGGATACACCCCTCAAATACCATGATTTTGGGGCGGGTTTCAAATTCGGGGGATGGGATTAATGGAATACAAGCAACAAATATCAACAAGATATACTGGGGATATTTGTTGGTTATGCATTAGGGTTTCAAACAACCGATTGTGAGACTTCGCTTGAAAAATGCAGGTAACCGACCATGTCATGGGGAGAATCCATGGGGGATCATCCATGGGATACACCGGAGCACCGGAGGCATGGGGCATGGGGTAGTGTTCGGACAGTGGTGAGTCATACTTTCAAAGATATTTCAAGGTTGACCTATACTGTTTGGATCGGAGTGGTTCAAAGATAGTTCAAGGTTTTTTTTAACAAATCCACTGCAGTCGTGAAGCTTTCAGGACCGAAAAATTTCGTCGAAATCTGATGGAAGAGATGTGACCCTTAGACGGTCACAACCTCTTGTAATCGTTCTCGAAGCATCGTACAACCCGTTTGTGTCGTTTCAACACTCCAAATTTAAGGGTAGAAGAAATCTTCACAACTGAAACTTGGGGGTTTACCTCACGCAGAATGACTGTTGTGGTAAAAAATATGGTAAAAAGGTCGGTGAAACTCTATGAAACTGTGCTGTATATGATCTGACTCTGTCCGACTCTGTCCTGGGCTGCCGTAGTTGGTGGCATTAACAGCCAGGAAAGAGGGCCAGACACACCAAAACAGCGAAAGAGGACTGTCATCACCGTTTCAGCTGCATCACCGTTTCAGCTGCCAGTGTCAAGTTTGCGTTTGCACGACCCAAATCCGACACGTGTCTTTGACCCATGTGGGGGATTTGATAAATGTGTGATGGTTTTCAAAAGGTACAAATTTTACAAACATGAATTATTCTAGGGGTACCCCTATTTCAGGAAACCTCCATGTTTTCCTTTGTTATTCGAAGTGATTTCCACTTTGAAGGACACCCTCAGGTCATCAGTATGCCAGCAGGTGTGTGTGTGTGTGTCTCGCTTGGCAGGACACCCTCACAAAGGGTTCCAAGACAGCAACACAACCTGTGGAAAGCCCTCCGAAAAAGATTCTTGGCAGTTGCAATAAATCCAGCCTGAGGAGTCGAGGAGGGACAATCTACTGTATATCAAACACCAGGTGCTGCAAAAACGTCTGCTCCCGGAACTCCATGCATGTCCGGGGACATGTTTGGGTCATTGATGTTATTTGTAATTCATTTCTGGGACACTAAGTTTTCTTATGAAAATCATGGCGTTTCTGGCCTCTGGTTGGTTCAGAAATCTTCCGAATACTCGAGTTCTTTCTTGAAACCTGGAGACTTCACCGGACCAGGCAGTTTCGGCTTTCGTTGGCCGCAGCTGAGGAAAGGTGGAACCGCCAAGTTGCGGCAGCAAGCCGAAGCGGATCTAAAGGAAGTGCCTCGATTTTGGGTGGGGGAGATCCACATTCAAAATGGAGCTAGTTGATGCTAGTTTCATTGAAAATGGGAATGGTTATATTCCAGCCATGTTTTATTAAAAGCCCATGGTTTCATTGATTTTCATTGAATATCCCATTGAATTGGTTTTAATATGTGTCCGCGAAAATCTATGGCTGGGATATTCTAGCCATGTTTGATCAGCGGATGTTCCAAAAGTCAGGGGGATGCCCTGGTCGAATGACTTGGGTGATTCGTGGTACCCCTCATTTTAGGAGACCGCCGGATGGTATGACATGGTACCATACACTCGAACAAGATTGTATCAGAGAGCGTGGTCGATGGTGGTCGAATTCCATCCCGCGTTCTTTTTTTCAACAGCCGCATTGTAGGGTCCATGGGTTTCCCCTTCTATACCATGGTCACTGGAGGATCTGGAGGGGTTAACATTAGTGGGATGGGATTGAACTGCTAGCAGAATCAGAGTGGTTCCTTGCTGTGGAATATCTCACCAGGTTTGACGACCAGAGGTATCAAAGAGGATATGGATATGGAATGACAATGAATGATATGCACGTGTATGTCCTGTACGGGTCAGTTGCCGCACCACTTGCTCACTAGAGTGTGGTTCAGTACGAAATTACATGGGAAGATAATATTGCAAGAGTAGATGTCGTATTTTGAGTGGAAGATGAATCTGGCCAATTCTGCTGCTCTTGAGCCCATGGTAAGATCTTTTCAGAGGAGTGGCTCAAGCACAGAAGTTGGCTTCTAGATACCATCTGGTTATTTAACATAGCCATGGAAAATCACCATTTTTAATAGGTAAACCTCTATAAATGGGCCATTTCCCATGGCGAACTGTCAGTCATAACCAGACGGTACCACCCATAAATCAACCAACTGTGCCTTAGTTGGTGGCTCAGGCACTGGAGTCTGGAGGATTGCTGTGGAATTCCCCCTTCCGCGGCAACCAGTCGCTTGAAAGTATCGGGTTGGGAATGGGGCCGAAGACCGCTAGGTACAGATAGTTTCTTCAAACCAAAAATGCCAAAAACATTGCTGGTAGTTGTGGATGTGAAAAGAACGCCGATTGCAATGGTCCAGTAGGTTTCGAATGGCGGTTTCAACAACCCATCCCAGGTTAAGTAGCTTGAGTGTTGTGGTGCTGCCTTGGCGGCGTGCACTCGTCACATCAACCATCATTTCTGAATCATTTCAGCTGCATCTGCATCGTTGACAGAGAAACATGTTACCATCTGGTTATGACTAACATAGCCATGGAAAGATCCACCATTTTTAATAGGTAAACCATCTATTTCTATGGGCCATGGCTTCCATGGCTAAATAACCAGAGGGTAAATCCGATGTTTTGTGAAATCCCATGGTGCACCCAGGGACGAACTGGGGCATTGCTCATGGTTCAATTACTCCTATTCCAGTCTCGGACGGGATGATGGTCCCCAAGCGGGAGTGGTATGCCTGTGTGTCATATGGCCATGTTGCCCAAAAACATAGTCTATCATAGTCTATCATAGTCTATCTCTATCTCTTTGCAATACATGACCCCCCATTTCAAGAAGCCTCCATATTTGAGTCAACCTTGGATGGGTACTTTATATATGTGTTTGCCATAAACCGGGATATCAATCGTACCCAGCTCTAAATCTATATAAGGTTCTGCAGTGTGAATTCTGGTCATTTGTCACCTAGCTCTTGAAAATTGCCAAAAAAAGATAAGACGGCCCACCGTTTTTAAAATGGCGAGGTGAAAAATGGCAAACTGTTATTGTGCCAGAGGGGTAAACCCCCAATAAAAAATCTCAAGTGTTGATGGCATTTAAGCCATGTTTTAGATGCTTCCAGCAGAGGGATCATTGAAGAACTTCGCCCAGGTTGTCGATGATCGTGACGCATCGTCACAGCCAGTACGGGACCTGGTGCATCCTGGTGCTATCAATAGATGTAGATAGATATAGTCATCCTGGAGTAGATAGACGGTAGAAAATTTCAAGGAATCCTCATTGAAGTGGAAAAAAAATCTGAAAACCCATATCGTATCTCCTTCAGGATGATTCATCATTGTGTAGGAGTGCAATAGAGCATCCCAGGCTAAGGTTGTGGCAAGTGGTTTTTTCAGGTTAGCCAAGTTGCCGGGGTGGGTTCCATCAACGCACATCCCTCAGCGGCGATGTTTCCCTGATCCTGGGGGGTGGTAAATCATGGTAAATCCCCATCGCGCTGAGGTGTCCCCACAGCCTGTTCGTGGGGGAGGCGACCTTTCTCCCGCCCAACATTGGACACACCTCCAAAATGGTGGGATATGCTATATTATATGCTATATGAATGGTTCCAAGTATGTGGTTTCAACATCCACCATGGCTCCTGAGGGGTGTTCAGAATAATTTGAACGGGGGAAGGGATTATGTACCACCAATATCCACCAATAAAGGATCCTAAGATTATTCAATACTGAATGAACCAGGGGATATATTTGGATATCAACATACTTTGATTGTTTTAGAAAAACGCTTAGGGCAATGTGGTTACAATATCATTGTATCAACATACATATTTGGATTCTTGGATGGTTTGTCAACAGAAAAATGTATATTTTTAATATGCCTTACCAAGGAGATGGGTCCAAATTTTATGGACAAGAAACGTCAAGAAATACTTGGAGATTGGTCCGGACATGATCGAAAAAAGAAATGGATGCCTGGATACCCATACATTTGCGGCAAACAGCCCCTTGGAGATGATTTTTTTCGGGTTGTGATGTGGGTGATGAAGCTGTCTTCCCTGATGCACCTCCATCAGCCAGAAACGGATTTCTAGCTAGGGTTGATGATTTTTTGGGATGTTCCATCTAGAAATGGAGGATTTGATGATATTTGATGGATTTCCCATGGATGATTTTCCATTTATGGATTGTCCATTATGAGTAGAATTCTCCAACAAAAACAGGGGTTGGATGAAACTCCGGTGGCAGGTGCTTCGTCAGATCTTGGAAACTGCAGAACTGCAGGATTTCAGGGCAGAATTTCGCAGGGAGATGTGATTTATTCATCCAATTCCACATTGTAACTGGTTGGTTGTCTCAGAGTATCAAGGATTTCAGCAATCTGGGATGTAATATGAATTGATAACGAATGAACACCAGAAGTAGATCTATGCGTATTATTGTAGGGCAAAGCACACCGGCGATGCTGTAAAGGGATGTAAAGGGTCAAGGTGGAAGTTGCCGAGTGCAGCACCCTGACCCGCTTTTGATGCTTTGATTTCGACCATGTCCTCCCCGGAACCTGCTGAAATCATAAGCATGCTAAACATTGTCTCAAGGACGGAGGGCCCTCGACCACAAAAAAGGAAATGGGTTGAATAAAATGTTTATTGCAACGGCTCGAAACTGAGTCAATCCTGGTGTTTTTGGATAGTGGCACGCCAAATACCCGATAGGTTTTAGTCACCAGCTGCCGAAAACATTGTATGTTTCGAGGCTTTTTTGCTAGCTGGTTCGAAAATCACAATATCTACTGATCTAATGTCGTTTATAGTTCTTGTTCTTGTTCTCTTCTTCTTATTATTATTAATCTTATTCTTATTCTTATTATTCTTATTATTCTTCTTCTTCTTCTTCGTCTTCTTCTTCTTCTTCTTGTTCTTCTTGTTCTTCTTGTTCTTCTTGTTCTTGTTCTTGTTGTTGCTGCCGCTGTTCTTGTTACTGCTGTCCCTGTTGTTGTTGGTGTTGCAAGACGGGGAAACCAACTCCTAACGCACTCCGCCTTGCTCCGGCCAGGGACAGTTCTTGTTGTTCTTGTAGAACAATGACTTGTTTTTGTTCTTGTTGCGTTATTATTCTTTGTGTTTTACTCCTTCTTCTTTCTTCTTGTTGTTGTTGTGATGGTGGTTTTGTTCTTGGTTGTGGTTGCTGTCACTGGTTGTGGTTGTTGTTGTTGTTGTTGTTGTTGTGGGTTGTGGGTAGTGGGTAGTGGTTGTGGTAGTGGTGGTAGTTTTTGTTGTGGTGGTGATGTGTTTTCATAGTTTTTCTGCTCCCTTTTTTCCTTATTATTGTACTTGTCTTTTTAGTTTGTTCCTTTGCTTCTTCTTCTTCTTCTTCTTCTTCTTATTCCTTCTTATTCCTTCTTTTTCTTCTTCTTCTTCTTCTTCTTATTCGGTTCCTTTTTGGTCCTTCTCCTTCTTTATTTTAATCTCTGTTTATGTTATTTTTGTTTCTTGTTCTTGATATGGTTTTTGTTCTTTAGTTTGTAGTTGTTGTTATTGTTGTTTCTGTTGCTGTTGTTGCTGGTGTTGCAGGACGGAGAAACCGATTCTTATTCCCTAACGGGTTTCCCCTTGCTCCAGCCGGGGTCGGCGGATATATGGATGCGTAATGATGTTTGATTATTTGTGTACATACATTGACAGATATATATGTATACAGATACACAGATACACAAGTGTGATGGGTTTGTTCGTTTCCAATTTGTTCATGCCGTGTTGTCCCATAAGATCTGGTTGGGGTTTTCAGAGGTCGGTCGACGGTCAGCTAGGCCAGGCCTTTTCTTTTTCTCAGGGTGTGATCATCCCTTCACGTTGGAATTTTTCGGCACCGAGCTGAGTCGACGTGGGAAAAACGCGTTCCAGCACCAAAATTCCCATGGTGTTTTATTGGGTTCATGATTGCCTATAAATTGCCTATAGACCCATTAGTTTTATAAACCAATAATAAACAGTTTAAACTCTCTGAAAATTGTGAAAACTCCATGGGAATCTTGGCTTCGATCTGGCTCCAGGATCCGGCTTGCCTTGGTGTTCAGGAGGTTCACGTGAAAGTGGAGCAGCAGGAGGTCACCCTGGGGTCAGGAGATGGGTTTGACCTTATGTGGGGGATACGTGGGGGATATCATGGCAAAAATTGTGGGAAAATTGTGGGAACTGCTGGAAATGGTGGGAAAAAGGTGATATCATGAGGAGATATATTGGGATATACTGTAGGTGGATATACAACCCTTGCATGGTAATTGAATGGCTATGTTTATGGAAAATTCGTTGTCCAAAATGATGATCAACCATGAGATCGGGGAAATGGAGGATTTTTGTTGGCCATTTGGTGGGATATAGTGGGACATTCTTCATACATGACACTATCTCACTATATCATTGTATGACCAACAAGATGACGTTGTGTTTGTCCGAAAGATCTGGTAGCAGCTGGCACCAGCATTTGATTTATGGCAGATGGATCTCCGGAAACCTCACCTGGCAATAGGAAAACCCATGGAGTCTATCCATGAATTTCTGTTCTATCCATGGTTTATGGTCAGAACTGGTTTCGGTGTACCCTCTGGTGAACTAACATAGCAATGGAAAATCACCATTTTTTATGGGAAAATCCACTATAAATGGCCATTTTCAATTGCAAACTGTTAGTTCACCAGAGGGTACCCCAAAAAAACCTAGGGGAAAACTATGTAGGTCCCATCAAGTAAGGTCCCAAAATGTCCCAAAGACCATCGTTTTGGGTGTTTCATGTGAACGGGGAAGGGATTGTAGGTTTCAATGGATTGGTTTAAAGGACAAATTTACAGGAAAAAAACCATATGTCATGGGAAAATCGATGGTTTCCGGTTAAGATCTTCCCTTAAAATCCCGTGAAAACCAATCCTAGTGAAGGTTGTTTTCCCTCTAAAAACAAGCATTTCCTGATGGTTCCTGGTAAGCCTTGCGTTGTGTCAAGGGGAGCCCTCGCCAGCCCTCGCGGATCGGTGCGGCAAGGTGTCCTTGGAATGCGAAGGCATCAACCTCTTCGGGCTCCAAGCACTTCCTGAAAATCTAGTGCCATGTCAGGGTCAAGTGCCATGGTAAACTTTCACCGTTTGCGAAGTGGAAGAATCTGGAAGATCCCCAGTTGTAAATAGTTGTCATAGCTAAATCATTGTAAATCATCGCACTGAATGGGGATGTTCCAGTTCGCAAACTGTTAACGAAGGGTATGTGCCATGGTCAAGAGTTGGACTTGGACGGGGATTGTCATCAGTCCATGTGTGGGGATGTACACATTATATGGAGTCCCATTATGGGATGGATGGCCACAATCCTACCATGTTTTGAAGGATTTGACCAAATCTGGGATACGATGGGAATATCACCAGTACTGAGTGCTTGGGTTCTTCGTCAAGATCTGGGTTTCTCTGAAAAGTTTTGGAAATTAATCATCAAATGATGGGGGAGATTATGACCTAACCATCAAAAAGTGGGGAAAAAGTTCTTTGGGGAAAACCAAAACAATATGGTGAAGAACCATATTGTTCCAATTAAAAATCGAAAAAGAAATGATGGATCCCCCATTTTCAGACAAAGCATACGAAGGATTTGACCAGACCTAGGATATGATATGATGCAAATATAACCCAAAAAACAGTAACTTGGACAGTGAATACATAAATCATAAATCCATATACCTAATACTTGGGATCCCCAAATATAGCCTGGCTGGTGGTTTGGAACATGTTTTGTGACTTTCCATATGTTGGGAATCATCCCAACTGACTTTCATCTTTTTCAGAGGGGTAGGTCAACCACCAACCTGTAGCTATTGCTTGGAATAAATGAATCCATGAGATGATGATCACTGAGGTGAACCATCGAAAGATCTACACCAACGACATCAGGAGCCCCGGGCAAGGCCGTTACGCGATGTTCTCCCCTGAGATCTAAGAACTTGCTGAAATGATGTTTGTATCATCGCTTTGCTAGGAGATTGTATACATTGCAGTATGTACATTTAGATATGAATATATATATATATATTTATGCATATATATATATGCATATACATATATATATATGCATATATATATGCATATACATATATATATATATATATATTTATGCATATATATATATATGCATATACATATATATATATTTATTTATGCATATACATATATATATATATTATGCATATACATATATATATACGTATATTTACATATAATATTATATATATACATATATATATACACATATACATACACATATACATATATATATATACATACATATATATATATACATAAAATGATATATGAGCAAGGTCTGATCCTTAGCAAAACCGTAGGAAGATCCTGGAGCTCTACGGCGTTGAAGCTGCGAGAGCATCAGTCGGGGAACCTGACGGAGCGATCTTTGGATCGTTGGTCATGGGAGGTGGGGAGTCACAGGAGTAAATGGCGATTTAATGGTTTAACAATGGGTTAACAATGGTGAAGAATGGGATGATAATGGGATATACCCTCTGGTTATTTAACATAACCATGGAAAATCCGATCTATAAATGGAGGTTTATAGCTGGGAAAATCATCTATAAATGGGCCATTTTCCATAGCTATGTTAAATAACCACAGGGTATGTATATTATATATACACAATTAATCACAATTATACATGATATAGCTAATATGTCCGAAAATCCTTCCAAGCTTTACTCGTTCTGCATTTTCTGTGAATCGACATCACCCTAGATCTTGTTGCAATGGGTATGTTCCAACCAATGCAAGGTTTCTACAGTAAAGGCTGGATCCACTGGCCGGCGGAGTTGGCCGCAGGTGGTGAAAGAAGTGCGAAATGTCTTTGGACACTATGGCATCCAGGCCTGTTGAGATCGAACTTGGAGCACTCACCCAATGGGATGAGATTGACGACTTCGATTGGGATGACACCCAATGGGTGTCCCAACTAATGTCAATTATGAATTATGAAATATTATGAACACGTTGAAGATCTTTCAAACATCTGCTTTTCAAAGGAATGTTCATTGGACGTTCCCTTCAAGGGAGCCAGTCGACCCACTTCTGTCGCCAGGTGAATCACCGGCATCTGTCGTTGATTGCAGACTACATGGCTCATGGAGGTGATCTCCGAGCGTCGGGTGGCCGATGGCTGGGCTGGGATGCGGTTTGTTAAACGAAGTGAAAAGGAGAAGAAGTTCTGCGCATGTGAAAATGCTTGGGTTCATGGCATTTTTATATCATTTTATTGGTTCAACAACTCAGCTTGGAAGAATCGCGAAGTTGGGGATTTGGGGCTAAAAACACCACTGGGGCAGCAGTGCCATGGGTATCTCGTGGGACTTGATCCGACCAAGGTTCAATCGAATGGGGATGCAGAGCTGTGCGGGGCTCGGGGCTGCCCATGGCCGAAGCTTTGCCAAATTCGGGTACCCCATCTCTCATCACTTCGAAATACTGTCAGTGTTCAACGGATGATATGACACCTATGTAGCATGGTGTTTCACCAAATGTGGACAGGTCCGTGGCATGTTGAAGGAACGGCCACTGTTGAAGGAACTGCCTTGGATATGACCTATTGGAACTAGGGACGCCAGTTCCCATTGCACCCAGTGGTGTATCGGAATATGGAGGTTAAATCCATGTAAAATCATCCGTTTTGCGGACAAAAGCATTTGGGGGGACATGACGGTTTGTCTGAAAATAGGCCCAATTTTTGTCAATTTGTCATGGTTGACCACCATGTTCCATCATTTTTACGTTCCACGTTGGGGATATACCCCATGTTCGCACCCAACTGGGAGAAGCCACCACCGCTCAGCCTAAAAAGCCTGTCAGCTGTTTGGCTCGGACGTACTCGACTTGGCCACCCTGAAGGGGTTTTGTGTTGGCCAGGTGGGGGAGGAGTTCGCCTGTCAAATGGGATATGCAAATGTGGTCTACCCCCAATTTATGCCAATTTACATACATACATACACACACACATACACACATACATACACGTACATATGTAAAGTATACGTATACATCTATGATCATATGTATCAGTGTAAAATACATATGTATATACCGTGTATGTATATATATATATATACATCATCACTTCATGCTAGTTGATGTTTGCTGCGTACATTGCAATATGAGGTACGGTCAAAACTCTGGTAGACCAGTCGGGAGGGTTCTTGTACAAACACTGTGCAGCGATAGGACCTCCAAAAGTGATAGCTATAGCCTATAGCTGTGCATGATGTCCACGTCTGAAGTTGCTTTATACAGAGTTGCGGACATGCAAGGCCAAAATTGGCCAGAATTGGCGATACCCTGACGATACCTTAGCGATACCCACCCAAAACATTGCCAGAGACCACAGATAGACCTTTCGTCTTTTCCTTTCCTTTTCTTTTCTTTACACAGATTTGTTCTTCTATCTTCATAAGTACAAACCATGTATATCCATGTATGGCAATAGGGCCACCCCAAGAGCGATACTACCGTTTTTTTTTAGCGAAGGCAACGGGACTCCGGGACTCTCCAGGTCAAGTTATGATGATGACCTGCTGTTGCTTGAATGATGAGGGTCAGGCCCGCGAAAAGATACCATGATCCCCCTTGATCAGTGCGCTGGAACCCAAGTGACATGGAAATGGCGACCTGGATGGTGACTTTCCGGTAGTTTGCAAGGTGATGTGGGAAGGGAAGTACCCCAAATGGCTAGGGTGATGTCTGAGGCAGCTACCTAACGTTCAGTAATCAAACATCATGGCAATGGCTTACCTTTTGGAAATGATAACTTTCCATGGCATGATTTGATTTCCAAACCAAGTTGCCAGAAGGTATTGACGTGAATGTAATCACACAATGTATGTATGCGTCTTTCCCCACGCCAAAGCAGTGCCTAGCTCATTTTTTGTTTAACCGAAACAGCCTGGACAGTCGTTGTGCACATGTTTTGTCATGATGGGAACCCAACCCCCCCAAACCGGTGAACCCCACTGTCACCCTCCAACGGGTCGTTCGGGTCTGTCATCCCTGGATTCTCAGTTCCTGTATGACGATAGACATGATTGTATAAGCCTTTTAATTATCAAACAAGCCTGGTTTTCGCTATTAGTTGGTTTTTCAAAAGCAACCTGACACGTCCCATATGAATACCCCAAATGAAATTCCTAGATTCCTGGATATTCCTAGTATATGCAATTCTTCATTGGATAAATCCCAATGCTTAAATCCCTATGGCGAATCTACCATGAGTTCACCACCACGGTCAACTGGCAGGCGGAGTTGAAGGTTGAACCGTCTATAGGAGATGAAGCAGCAGTGGTGAGGGCTTCGGAGATGAGCCCGAAAAAAAAGATCCGTTGCGTTTCTACCAAGAATGGGGACGAGAAACCAGAAACATGCAAAAACCTGGGTTTATCATACTTCTCATCAATTGATGAAAGGTAAGTTCGGTTACTGTACCAATAATGGGGATTTTTTTTGCCAAGAAAAATTGAGAAAATTGAGATGTATAGCCAATTGATGCCAATTGATGCCAATTGATGATGCGCTGACTGAGAGTTATGGTGGATATCTACACTTGGAGGGTGTTCAAAACAACTTTGCTGCGGGGTGGTACTACACTGCCACACTGAAACTGACCTAAATGAGCACTTAGATCTCTGGCACTTGGCGTTCATTCGAGAGACTGGGATAAGAATGGATGACAAGCCACCTGTGGAAATCCCCACTTTGGCCCCGGGTCTTTTCTCGCATTACAGGTACCAAGACACCAAGAGGATCTGGAGCCAATCTTGGAGGACCCGGTTGGGGATTGGTCGGCTACCTGGTCAACGTTCAAGTGGTCCTGTTTGGAAAACCCGTTGTACAGCCGCTTTGCATGTTATGTACGTATTCCATAGTGTGCACATGCCAGTATATCAAATTGTTAATGTATACACATGCAACAAGATCGAAATATAATATATATAATATTATATAATATATGATGTAATATAATTTGATATAATATAATATAATATAACATAAAATAATATAATATAAGATAAGATAAAGATATATAAGATATGTAATACATATAATATATAATATATAATATATATACTATATATAATATGTTTAATATAATATATATATATATATGTAATATATGTAATATATATAATATATGTAATATATATAATATATATAATATAATATATATATATAGTATATATAATATATATACTATATATAATATTTTTAATATAATATATATGTAATATATATGATATATATATATATATCATATATATAATGTATATCATATATATATATAATATATCAAATATGTATAATATATATATAATATATATAATGTATATAATATATAATATATATATATATTATATAATATATATAATATAATATAATATAATATAATATATAATATATATAATATATATAATATATATTATATATAATATATATATAATATATATAATATATATAATATATATAATATATAATATATAATATATATATAATATATATAATATATATAATATATATAATATATATAATATATATATAATATATATATAATGTATATTATATAATGTATATATAATATATTATATATATATAATATATATAATATAATATATATAATTTATATAATGTATATAATATATGTAATATATTATATATAATATGTAGAATATACATAATATATTTATTATATAATACATATAATATATAATATATAATATATAATATATATTAATGTATATAATATATATTATATATTTATATATAATATATATAATATATATAATATGTATAATATATATAATATATTTAATATATAATATATATATAATATATAATATATAATAAATAAAATATATAATATATAAAATATATAATAAAATATATATATATTATATAATGTATAATATATAATATAGAATATATTATATCTAGATATCATATATATATATATATTTATATACATATATCATTTAAATACATATACACATATACTTTGTATACGTGTAATGTGTATAATATATATATATATGCGTGTCATATGCATGTATGCACACAAGTACGTACATGATCATATGCACACAGTATCTTCCATCCGAACTACCCAGGAGCCAGTCACAGTTGGTTGCTTTGAAGTGATCGTGCCCACTGAAGGCGCCGGATTTTCGTCATCATGTGAGCCAGGTTCAGAAAGACAGAGTAAACAGGAACCAATTAAGCACGGTCTTGAATGAGTTGTGGAAGCGGTTGAAACTATCCAGAATGATTCCCTGTACCGTCCTATGGGGTTAAAGCTTAGCTCTTGACGCATGACGTTCGATCTACACAATATACATGTATGACATCCTATATGATCCCCTACCCTAAGATATCCCTAGATCATGGCTTCAGAAAAATGTCACTGGAGCTGTGACGTATTTGAGCAAAGCCCACATTTCCGGGAAAATCTACATATCATATTGTTGCTTATACCCTCTGGTAAACTAACATAGCTATGGAAAGATCCACCATTTTTAATGGGAAAATCCACTATTAATGGCCATTTTCAATAGCTACGTTAAATTACCAGAGGGTAGATCAAATTGTATTCCCAACTATATCCCGTGTATACCCCTATGATCTCCCCAGTATATCCGCATTATATCCGCATCAACCGGTTGATTTGACCCACGACAAATCCATTCAGTGGGATATGTTATATATCCCTCAATATTTTGCTAATTATATTTCCATCATGCTTTTATAATACAAGTGAGTAATACAAAAGCATACAAGGAAATGAATGGAACACCCTCTGTTTCAGGGAAAAATGCATGGTTTCCTGCAGATGTTCCATTACATAAATCCATGTGATATCCCCTGGTTTCCCGTAGATGTTCCCGTAAATTCAATCCACATTATATCCCCACCAAATCCCATGAAATTCATTGAAATGCCCAGCATCCCTATTTTCTCAGCATATACCCATTCAATTTCCAGATAATCCTCATTTTCCCAGCATTTTCTCACCATTTTCTCAGCATTTTCCCATGACCCCATGGCCATTGTTAAACGCGCCAACCGGGTCCTGAGAGTCCCTGCCCAGGTTACCGTGCCCTAGGTCTCGAGGTGGATACTACAGCCACGGTCAAAGCCCAAGGTTTCTCGGTCGGAGAAAGGTCTTGGAATATGACGACGGGATATCAAAGGACATATACCTGTGATATATTATAATATATTTATATATATTAACATATATATATATACATATATATATATATATACATATATATATATGTATATACATATATCCATATATATATATATACTGTATTTATTTACAATAAATGTCATGTTTTATCATTGTCATTGTCACTACCACTATCGTTATCATTATTAGTATCATTGTTATCCTTATTTTCATTTTGATTATTGTATATTAATTTCATTATTTTGGGAGTTCTAGTGTGGGTACGTGAACGTAACAAATGCAAGGTAGCTCCCATGGCTTGCCTCTCATGGCCAAAGTTCACCTTTCATAGATACTTTCCGAACAGAAAAGCCATGTCACCCCTTGAAGAATGCACTAGTGTCAGCTAAGTTATGATGTAATTATTTTTTCAAAACGGAACATATATATATATATACATCATATACAGCTTATCATATATAAGACCATTATTCTTTACGATATATAACTAAGCTCTTGTAGCTTCTGGTGACTGGATTTTTGGACGAAGGTGGCCTCATGGTCAAGGGCATCAACGATGGAGCCGTGAAGGCCTTCAACAACCGCTATCCTGCGCAGGCGTGGCGAGTCAGGGGCTGTAAGATGGCGATGGGTTTATTGAATGGTTCCATTGTGGTCTACAATGGCTTTTCAAGGGTGTTTATAGGTGTTTTTAGATTTTTGTAGATTTTTTAATGGGTTGTATGATCGTTTGCTAGACTTCCCAGAATGTCAGGCCTGTTCTGCTAGAGAGTACCCCTTTTCAGCGATAGATTGTTCAGCAAAACTCGTGAAATCCTGGCTGGAATCAATTGAAAACAGTGAATTCGATCAGCCTCTTTTTCGTTTCCGTGTTCATTTACAGTCAGTAGAGACAAAACGATAATTCTGATATGTTAGCCTTTTGAATCTCAAAAATCATCCATAAATGTTGAAAAGCTATAATAGGCTATAATGTGTGTAAAACAATGCCATAAGCCACCCATTTGGAAATGGTACCAACTATAAAAATGGTGATGACTGGGGGATGGTGCAAATGGTATTGTGTTACCCACATTGTAGAATCTATTATCATCATCCATAAATCATTATAATCATTCATAATCATTCATAATTTATTCATTATAATCATTATAATCATTCATAATTCATCCAGTATAATCATTATAGTCATTCATAATTCATCCATTATAATGATTATAATCATTCATAACTCATCCATTATAATCATTCATAATTCATCCATAGATCATTCATACATGCTGGCTTTCCATCACCATATCTGGTGAAAAACAACTCTGGCCTCTGAAGGCAATCCAGCTCTACGACGAGTTAACGCTCCTGGATCAGGCACGAACTGACCGCTCACTTGTGGGTAGATAATGGTGATATAGATATAGATATAATATGTGTATATAGCGTGTATATATATAGTCTATATATATAAGCTATATATATAAGCTATATTAATATATATATAAGCTATATATATAAGCTATATATATATAGTCAAGCTACTGTATATAATTATGTATAGATATATATATATACCCTCAGGCCGCCTGGTTTGCCGTCGCTTGACATGCATCTTTTTGTGTTTGGGGGGGGGTGGGGTGGTTTTGGGGGAGGGGGGTTTGGGGGGGTGGGGTGCAATAACGTCCCAACGCGCGCGGTTTTCTGGGTTTAAATGCTACAATAGCGCTTTGTTTTCAGGGTGTAATTGCTACGTTATCGCTTTGTTTTCAGGGTGTAAATGCTACGTTATCGCTCTGTTTCAGGGTGTAAATGCTAGGTTATCGCTTTGTTTTCAGGGTGTCAATGCTACGTTATCGCTTTGTGTTCAGGGTGTAAATGCTACGTTATCGCTTTGTGTTCAGGGTGTAAATGCTACGTTATCGCTTTGTTTTCGGGGTGTAAATGCTACGTTATCGCTTTGTGTTCAAGGTGTAAATGCTACGTTATCGCTCTTTGCTCAGGGTGTGATTGCTACGTTCACGCTGAAAACGGTCCTGACAGCCCTGCAGCTGTACAGGGACGCATGTTCCAAAGGAATTGTGCGAACAAGTCCTGCAGAATGCTATGATGAGAACAAAGTACCTTGGCTGCCCTGAAGAAAAGTGCCTTTCCCGCCGACGGCGAAACAGGCGGCCTGGGCGTATATACATATATATATATCAGAATATATAACCCCGTTTGCATCTGGCCCATCATTGCAGTTGATGTCTCGCCCGGTGAAGATTTGCCTTGTGAAAGGCCAAGCTTCAACAGTAGAAGTGATTGATTTGCCCCTAAGTGCTGAACGTGTTTAAAGGAAAAATGGTAAATGGCAATGGTAAATCCCCTGTCAATGAAGTTTTATAGCTGGGATCATCAACTATAACTTGAGGCTCTGATGGAAAATCCATGAGCATCATCTATAAATAGAGGCCTTATGTGGTCTTCTAATAGGAAAATCAATGTCAATGAATATCATCTATAAATGTCATGGTCGTTTTTTGTGGGTCGTATTATAAGAAAATCATTGGAAAATCATGAAAAGTCCATGATGGATATATCCTATTGCCAGACAAAACCACAACGCTTCGGAGCAAGGCCACGAGCAGCAAGGAGATCAAGTCAAAACTGGGTCCCTTGGCGACGAGAGCGAAAAGGTTCGTTGACTGAAAAAGCGGTGAGATTTCATGGTGATTTTTTGGGAACATATCTGATTGGTAGTTTACCAGAGGATATGTCAAAAAAACAAAATTATGGCATGTGATATATCATATCATGATATAGATGGACATATATATATATACACACTGATTGGTGGTTTCAAACATGGTTGTTATTTTCCATTTCATTTATGGGATGTCATCCTTCCCATTGACGAACTCCATCATTTTTCAAGATGGTTATTGCACCACCAACCAGGTATGTAAGTGATACGATAGATGTAAGCTTTATAGCCATCTATATAGCCGATAATACTGAGTGGTTTCAAGTTTGACTTAACTTTTGTCAAGCATTGAACTGGGATGAGGATCCCCAAGCCATGGATAGCAGCTGGGATAGATTCAATGTTTTTAATCTTTGTCTTCATGGTTCTTACACCAGTTGTATGTATATATATATATTATTATATATATATATACATATTCTACATAATATACTTATTATACATATGTATATGTATATGTATATATATACAAGGCTGGGGGTTCCCCGTAGCTTCCAGGAACCCTCAGCCTTGTCATGTACTATAAACGTCGTTATGGTATAGAGATGGGGGGTGGGGGGGTGGGGGGTGTATTAACGTCATGTGGAGTGCGTGGGATTGAGAGTTGTTGAAACCTTGAGGATGTTGCTTTGTTGACTCTGTCCACCACGCACCGCGACTGCACCGTGAGAAGACCAATGGTGCTCTCGCTCCAAGCAACTGCTTCAAAAAGCCTTTGTGGATGTGAAGATAGGTGTGATGTTCATTTCGTCCATGGTTCTCCAGTGAATTTTAACGTTTTCTAGTTATCAACAAAACGACCAAAAATGCATGAAACCAATAAAATGCAACTGGCTTCCGGGGAACCCCCAGCCTTCACCCTATATATATATTGATTTATTTATTTAGTTATTTACAGTCCACATATATATATATATATATACATACACAGTACATATATATATGTGATTTTTTACTGTACCTGGATATATAAGTGGATTTTCCCCCAAAATGGGCGAAGCTTTTCTGAATGATCATTTCCCCAGATGCCCTGGTTTGGGGAATCCTCGGTGTGGACCCTCCCGAGGTTCTTCAAAGCTACCAGCGATGCTAAAGATTGGACTCGATCGGCCAAGGGCTGTACAGGTGCGATGGGGGTGGAAACCACTGAAACAGGTGGGTTTTGTCTCACAGGGCTGCTGCAGGAAGGGGCAAATTAGAATTTTGGACACCCACATCTTGGAAATCGGCCTTTAGGGGCCAAAACGAGCAGGCACAGCCAGTGGGGGGGTCAACGAAAGAGGAATGAGATCAGTGGGACGATCGTGGTTGCGATGGGATTATGGCAAGGTGTAGCCAGCCAGCACAGCAAGTTGAGAACCGCTAGCAGATACATGTACATATGCATCGACATCTACATGTATGTGTACAACTACATATACATCTGCATATGCATCTACATGTACATGTACATCCTATACATATGCATTGTACACATACTTTGTACATTTGCATATACATCTACAACTACATCTGCATCTACATGTACATGTACATGTAGTTGTTGAGAGATGTTGAGAGTGCGCCCGCGGCCTTTGTCAGGTGACTTTGGTCAAGCCTGGCATGTTGGGGATCAAGCTAGTACCTCGGCGGAGACGGGAGATCTGATGGAGCTATGGAAGTCATGGCCCATTGAAAGGTTCCATGGGGGATCCCCAAAATGGGTAGTTTATAATGGAAAATCCTAAAATTAAAATAGATGGTTTAGGGCTACCCCCATTTTAGGAAACCCCCATTTGGTTGGATGATTTACCTATGAAAAATGATAGTGTTGTCACAACTATGTTAGTTTACCAGATGGTATATGGATTGAGAACTTGGAGCATGCCCTATTTTCAGGCACACCCATAAAGTTGATATAGTGGGAAATCATGTGAATACGATGATGATCTACGGAATATGGCAAAACAGACTCATATTAGCAAGAGTTAAGCGATATTAATTTTGTGGTTGCCTGTTGGTTTCTGGTTTGTGTTCAACCAGAAGTTGGGATGATCACTACAACTTGCTGCTGGGCCCAGTTTGAGCATTGAGGTTTCTGTGGCATGCAACATGCTCAAGCTGCCGCACAGAAACATAGACGCTCAAAAGATCCATTGATACGAATTGAGCCATTAAACATAATGTTCTGGGGATTATCATGACCCATAACAGGGAAACTGTTTTCAACCAACTAGTATAATACGGTATAATGAGATGGGACAACGGTGTATTTTGAATGGCTCAATTCCTTGGAAAATATACCGACTTCCATCCACTTCCAGTTCAGGAATTATATGGAATTATACGAAAATATCCTATGATCCTATCCTATGATCCTTGGGACCCAACGCATCTCCAACACATCTCCAAACAAACGGAGGGTGAAAACCCATGGTTTTCCCACGGATTCTGGTGAATTCTCCTAGGATTTCAAAGCCACTTCCGCCGGTTGCGTTGCTGGGCAGCAGTTGGTGGTTCAGATGGGGTAAATGACTGAGTAGTTTGTCTGAAAATGAGGTATACAACCCAAGTGGCCATGTGAATATGGAAAATATTGGAAAATGATGATTCACCAGTGAATTTAGGGGTTCCCTAGGTTCCAGAGAAAGCCATATTCTTATGAATCAGATGTTTGTTGGTAATGTATCATACTAAACCGACGTGTTTAAGGGGATTTCTCATGAAAGTTTAAAAATACCAAAGGCCCAAAGGTACCCCCCAACAATCCAACAATGAGGGATTATGAATGGGGTTTAATCAACATTCATAAGGGTTGATGGTTGGTGCCCAGCCGGGGGCCAGGTGGTTGAAGAGGTGTTGCCTGAGGGTCTCGTCACCAAATGGAACGCCACGCGCCCGGAGTCGGAACGCGTTCGCAAAGGTGCCCAGGGAAACGTGGCTACCCAGTGAGGTTCAACGGGGGGTCGAGTCTCGCCTTGAGAAAAGGTGGTGGAATCTCAATATTTCGAATCATTTGCACTGGAATAAGACGATGGTATTTCATAATTTCCATCTGGTGCTTAGACTGATAGCCACGAATCAAGCATTTTATTAGATGGCAATTGTTGTACACCTGTCGAGGTGATCGCGTCGTCAAGATCAATGGAGAGCCATACCTAGGCGCGGAGGGCGAGAATCTGGGAAAGGCGCTGTACCATAAGCCTTTGCTTTCGGCAGAGGGATTTGACCTTTGCACCTATTACATAGACCATCATATACCATGATATACATTGATATACATTTATATACATATGTGGTTTGATGAAGTTTGTTGGCCAGTTGGTCTGCCAAATGTCATATATATATAGATATGCATATATTATGTGTATGCACATATCCAGCATTTGTCGCCATATTTTGTTGATTAACCATTTCCGTGTCTAGCCATGATAGTTCGAAAGGAATGGAGAAAGCTGCTGGTCGATGGTGCCTCACAACATAGGTCTATTGACACCAAAACAAGGGATTTTCAAAGTCCTCAATCTGAAGTGTTGAGTGGCTTCAGCTTATGGTTTCTTTTGATCCTTGCCGTGCCTGGTGGTGCCAGGAAGCAAAATGCTGGAGGTGATGAAGCAGGAGGATCGTTTGGATCTGACCGTGCTGAAATATTCGTCCTCAGCCTGAGATTGCTGATCGCATCTGATCGCTGATCAGATCTATTGCCAAAGATTGTAGATAATCACTCTAAAGATGCATAGAGAAACACAAAAATATCACTTAAATATCTTGTTGTCATTAGTGTTAAATCATATAATTCTCTTGATCATTGTGATATTGGTCCATGTCTTGAACCCTGCTTTCAAGCACATCAGAGATATCGCACAACAGGCACCATTGGCCTGAAGGTAGTATGCAACTTCAGCTGCTCATAGGAGTGGTTGAGGTGCTAAGCTTGGGGACCATGGCTTCGTGGATACCTTGAGCGTTTCTGCGTGCTGCCGCCGCAGTAGAATATAAATTAGCATAAATTAGCGTTTTTTCTGCTTTTTCACGACATGCTTCGAAAGTCACGTACTGTAGACCTATGGTTTATGGTAGATACATCATCATATAGTATAATATATATATATATGTGTGAATATAATAATGCCAATGATCCATTGTGTTTTTCTCAGCATTTGAGAAACACATACGCTACAGTCGCTGTAGAAATGTCGAAAGCTGTCGAAAGCTGTTGATCGGGGCACCTCAAACATCCAGTGGCGCGTTTTGCCAGCGATTTGGGATAGTACCAGAAGATAGATTTTTATGTTTATACATATGTAAAGATATAGACATATAATATACATTATACATCATTATACATTATGCATATATATATATACATATTATACATATCAACAAAGCTGACCAAGATTGAGACAATAGATCCATTTGTTGTAGTCCAGCCGTTTCTGTGAATTTCTTTGTTCCTACCCAGTCTTGTCGCTGGCAGCGGGCGGACCTGTGTTGGTCCTTTTGTGGGTTTTGCGGAAAGTGGCCGATTTTCTGATTGGTAAAATTGCAGAAACCCAGTGGCGAAAATGGTAAAATTTACTGCAAGTTGTGTGGGTCCGTTTTCGTACCCCCAGCCATTGACCCATGTCATATGGGATCTCTAACATCTGATCTCCACCAGCCACTTCCACTGCGTCCAGCAAGATGAATCCAGGGTGGGTGACATCGAACGATGTACCCAGCCCCTTTGTGTCATGAAGTTTAGAAAATGGCTGCGGAATGGTGAAAAAAGGGCTGGATTCGGCTGGAACCAATCAAGCTCTGGGGATACAAAGGGGATACAAGGGGAATAGTGTTAATGTACAGGAATTGGATTATATGCTGACTGACTAGAAATGTGTACAGGAGACACTGACAAGTATATTTCTGCAGACTGGTTGATGGAAAGGTGGCATAGAGTTTGGCTTAGATATTAATCAAGAAACAATTGAATTTATAGCAATCTCACTGCGCAAATACTAGATTGCTCACAGTGCCATACAAAGGAAAACTGTATAGCTTACTGTTGTAAATGCAACTACAGTGCAACTACTAAAGAAAATAGGTGATAATTCGTTTGAATATAAATATTGTTTGAAAATATATTTAAAGAAATATTACCTCTATATACTAAGATAGTATGGAGCGTGATAGAACATTCTGTATGAATGTTGTATTAACCAACCCTTATCCTGAATATAAAGAGGTGTTGGAAATAATGCACAAAGAGGAAGATTCAGATTTTTCACATGTTTGCTGAGCATGGGATGGAAAAACTTCAATGTATAAAAGAAATTTATGAAAATGCAAATGTTTTTCTTTTATCCATCAATGATTTTCTTTTATACAGATATCTTTCACCATTAGATAAAGATATCATTGATGAAGGCGTTGAACTAAGAGATAAATAAGGGCATGGTGATAGATATACCCTCTGGTAATTTAACGTAGCTATTGAAAATGACCATAGAAATAGTGAGTTTTCCCAGTAAAAATTGTGATTTTCCATAGCTATGTTAGTTTACCAGAGGGTATTTTCTTTTACCATTAGCTCTTCCACAAATGGTGAGAAGAGAACCGAAAATCGGTGAGCTATGAAAGCGTGTGGGGACTGGGATGGACTGGGGGAGTGGCTAGACAGCGGCGTGGTGTGTATCATAAGAGTTTTTTAATAGTGTCCTGGCTGAATATAGATAGTTAAAGACATGTGTGGTTTATGATATGTTTGATATTTTCTTTTGAATAATAGTGGGTTGATCATATTTCTTGTAAACAATATACCTAAATAGACATTGATGTGTAATATTGGTAATGGAACATCCTGTGTTAGGTGTAAGAAGGAAAGAGAAATTTCAAATGGTGTAGCCATTGCAGAGAAGATGCCAGAAACTACCATGTTGACAAACGTGAGGAAAACAATGTAAGGAATAGAGCATATCACTACAGAAATCGTGATGAAAATAATCAAAAAAGAAAAGAAACTCATCAAAAGAATAAATGCAAAAAAAAGGAAAGGTACCAGAGGAAAAAGGACACCCAAGAATTCAGTCAAACCAAGACAGAATAGCAGGAAAAACTACATTATTGCATTTTATGCAAATATGAAGTAAAACTATATAAAGGTCACGGTCACAACATGAAAAGTCACAAACACATCAGAACTATTTAAAACAGCAAGCTGAAGAAGAAAACCAAAAGAAAAACCAATGGAAATACATAGATTCAAACATTTAATGCCATTGGAAAAAAAACTCAACAGAAATTCTTGACTAATTTGCTGATGACATGATTCTACAACAAAATGGATTTTAAGAAATGATGCGATGATATGATGATGGGAAAATGATTTCTTGTAAAAATTCTGTTCGATGATTTGATGAAACTCTAAGAGGTACACCTTGCCTGTTTCAACAAACTCCCTGAAAGTGTTGTTGGTTGTGATGATTTGTTCAAAACGCTTCAGGGTCATAAGATAAGGGATAGGTAAGGTGTCCTCTGGCTATACAATACTATGTATGTATATATATAGATATATGGAATATTATCCATTAGAATATACTATATACTATATATATATATACCTTGCTTTATCTATGGAACATATTAGCTATTACAATACTATCTATGCTCATGTCTATATCATAATATACCATCTAACATCTTCCCGGCGTCGTGCCGCCACGCCGCAGCCCAGGTGCCTCGCCCTTGCTTCAGATGTCCTACGAAACAACGGTGCAGTTTCTCTCCACCGCCTGCCAGGCCCTGGAAGGGATAGTATGTTAGTGTAGATGATACACTATATTATAGACATTAAGATTAACATATATTAGTAATGTATATTAACATATACTATAGATATTTATACGTATATATACATAGTAGATGGTATATGATGATATACATATCATATATGATAATATAGAATATATACATAATGTCTGATAATATAGAATATGTCTAGCCATCGAGCTAAACATGTGATTGTTTATCAGCGGGAGAATATGAGTCATACCCAGCTGATAAAGAGGCAGGCAGAACTTGTTGAGTATCTAAGGTCAGCCATGCGACCCTCAAAGGGTCATCAGTTCAAAGAACGGCTGATGACGCACTTGGAGCCGTTCAGAACCACTTGTGGCAAGTTGGACGGTTCAATGTTGGATAAGATGACAGTGTTTCATGACGCCAATGTTTGCGACATTTTGCAACCATAATTGGTCATACAATGTCTTCAACACGTTGTTTGGGTGGTTTTACGAAGTGGGTATTGAGGTCAAGACTTACCATCCCAAGTAACATGGACGCGGGAAAACGAAGAGCCCGTTTTGAGATGAAAGTGGTCTTCCAACCCTCTATTTGAAAGGGTCTATGTTACCCTTTGGTAATTTGCTGCATTCTGGGAAATCGCCATTTCAAGATAGAAAGATAGATAGATGGATAGATGGATAGATGGATAGACAGTATATTTACAGTAATGGGCAGCGGGTTCCATAGCTATCTTGAATTCCCAGATGGCATAAAAACGGATTGGGGACTTCAACAAAAATGGAGGTATAAAACTCCCGTAATGAGTACATTTTATGGAAGATAACTATCCAGCAATCAATTTTGAACCAGTTGGTAAAATTGTTTGAACCATGCACAGTTCTATAACATTCTATAACATATGATGATATGTAGAATGTGTACACTAATTTACATATTACAGATATTGTATATGATATGGCACTATTGCCAGATGGCCGTGGGGGGTGGGACAAGGGGGTGGGACAAGGTCCCCGGCAGCGCAGGAAGGACTCTTGGACAACATGGTTTCTCCCGCCACTTGGCGCTGCCGAAATGTTCAGCGAAGTATCCATTGCTTCCCCTTAGATTCCACGTATATATATATATATATAATCATATGTATGTCAAGGTATATCAATGTACTGTATATCTATGTATATGTATGTGTATCCTTTTGTTCCTTGTTCATTCCACTCTGATTTCTCTTCTATTCCCATGTGATTTGCCGTGTTTCCCGTTTATTCTGTCATCAACTCCTTTTTTATTCCCATTGAGTCCTCTTGCATGCCCCATTGATTCTCATCTTATCTCAAATTTATTTCCCAGTGATTCCCAAGCAATTTTTGGGCTGCTGTTTGCAACTGCCGGTCACAGGAATCGCCAAAAAAGAATCGGAAAGAGAAACATCATAAGAATAATAAGGCGGGTTGTTGGTTCTACTTAAGTGCCACTGCTACTCTTTTCGCTCATTTGTCCTTTGCTTTGCTCCTACATTTGCTTCTGAAAAGGAAACTTGAATCATGGCAGCCTTGATGGCGACGATTTGGTAGCCATTAACTGCAGCCATGTAAGATGTTCATATATGATTGAATCCCAAAAGCAGGGGGCATCACTTCATGAAACCATTCGGAATTCCTGAGTCCATCCTTTGTTAAGTTGGATTTCAAGTCCTTAAGCTTGAAGACTTGGAAGACTCCAAGCACGCATGCTTGTTGCCAGTAAATCAGTCTGGGCTCATTATGGGCTCACTATCTCCATAAGTGGATCAGATATGTCATTCGAGTGGATTGCTCAACACGTCGAAATGGGGATAAAACCACCACATATATATATATATAGCAACCCCCAAAAAAAAGGCGGAAACG